ATTTTGACATTTTATTCTCCAAAAACTTATTTGAAACCTTAAATGTAGACACTTTACTTACATTTAATGTGCTTTCTATGGACATAAAATCACTTTTGTAAATTTATTTTGATGCGAACATCTTAACGTCTTTGACCCATATATATATATATATAAAATCAGTTATTATATATATATATAGTCAAATATGTTCAAGTCCACTTACATGTTTAAGTGAGTTTACTTTAGTTCTCAGTCCCTCCCGTAGGTTTTCATTCTCCTCCTCATACAGGCTGTGTCCACTTGCAACATAATTGCCTGGAGGGCCGCCCTCACCTAAACAAAAACAATAAACATAAAATTGGCTGGATAAGACTGGTGTTTCTGAGCATTTTAAAATCCAATATCTGATCTCAGCAAATTATTATAAAGGTTAGTAACCGACATGTATGATTTGATTGCTCTGAAGTTTACTAAGATGGGCAGGGCTGGTTGGCTGGGAAAAACCTACACAAGTGCCCTTGACATGCTGACTGCAACTTCAAATAAGGTTTATATAGTCATCAGAAACTACTGAACATCTAAAAATTAGTAACTATTAATTAAATAGTGATGGTCTTCACAAGACATAAAAGATTTTTAAAAATATTTTTTACATTTAATTATTTTGTGAAAGATTTTTTTTTAAAGTTATTTATCAGTTAAAATCGGCCCCTTTAAGAACTGACTTTAAAATTATATTGTTGGTTCTTTTGATTAAAACTGTTTAAACGATATGGAAGGAATCTAAATTTAGGTTTGGGTGTGTCATATATATTGTTGCACTGTCTCTGTGTGTTTATACACACAGCAACACCAACAAACACCTCTAAATGTTAACCTGACCTATGGAACAGATGGTCTGATATAGTTGGTAAGACCAGACCGTTTTGGCTCTGTCAGTTACCGTTGTCTCGTACCGTTATTTATAAATGTGGCTCTCCAAAACTGGACATTGTGGTTAATTTATTGGTATGATTTGGTCATTCGGCGTTTGTTTAATGTCGCAAACTGTGATATCTATTTGAACTGAGAGCCTAGCTTAGCATAAGCTTCAAATAAAACGACAAATAAAGAGAAACACTTACCCAAACCTGCACGCCTCATTATCAGCCGGAAACCTTTATATGATATACAATCACTGCAGCTTGAAAGTAATGTAATAAATATTTTATTATCTTCCTATTTAGAGCCGCTCTACTTTCGCCTTAGTAACTCCACAAGCGCCACGAAACCTTACGGAAGCCGTGGTGGATTAAGCCGCACGCGAAGGTAGGAAGGGCGTGTGGGTAGTGAAGTTTTCACGAGTTCATTTTCATTTTTTTTTTTTTTACTCTCTTTTTATTTTATATTTCTTTTTACTTGCTGTCACAAATGTTCCAATGCTTTATTTAAAACTAATGGAAATATCACTGAGTAGTTTCTCTGCTGTGCAGTGACCTTGATAGACGGAAATGAACTTTTTGGCCTATTTTACATTTTTAGGTGCAGTAATTGGTCGCCATTTCTTCTATTTCTCAACATTTGTCAGCATACCAATTCCACATTTTTATATAGTACAAAAACATTTGTATAATATGTCACTCTCTTATCTTATCGATTAAAAAGACTTATTATGAATCATAAAAACAGCTCGTATTTTTCAGCGCGAGTCTTCCTAAGAGACAGTAACACAAATGCTCAAATAAAATGTCTTATGGCCAATTAATTGTTAATTTTACTGAACAACTTTTACTAAATTACTGACTACTAATGCAAATTGAATGGCTACTGCAAATTGTCATTTAGTGATGGTAGACCATTTTATGATGAATTTGTATTTTCTGGGATTTAAGTATATGTGACCTGACCCACAGAAGTGCCATTATAGGGTCTGGCTTGTCCTGAACTCAACACATCGGTGAACTGAATGTCTGTCCAGTGTTTTTCAGTTGTACTTCAGCCTGCAGTTTCACAGAGCACTCAACAAATCAAGCTTCAGGCATGAACATCTCAAAGAGCAATCTCTGTGCTCCTGATTATCGCTCAGTAATCCATGTCCCTCTGTGACAGGTTTCTTAGGGTCCAAAGTTCATATATTGCTATTTCTTTGGTCCTTGTCTGGTCCATTGTCAAAAGTAACAGGCTACAGTTCTGATTCTGACTTGTGATCTTTCATACAATAAAAATAACAAATATTTTGTTCATATAGTTTGAAATGGCAAAGTTCTAATATTTTACTTTTACTTTGTCAGTAAATGTCATGTCTGGGACACTTTAAATACAAACTAGCCTAATACATGTCAGTGGATCAGTGGATCCAGACATCTACAATGTCTAATTGTACTCGGAAACCCCAAATCCCTTTCATTTCCTTTTATTTTCTTTGAATTATTATCCTATAACAGTCATTCTTGTCATTCAGAGATGATTTCAAAAATATGTGACTTAGAAAATCTCATAATGCTGATGTCGCTCTTGTCGTCTCTCTCTGTGGAATGTGTGACAGACAGCTAGAGAAGCTGAGAACATGCATCGAGTTTGGGATCTATTTTGACATTTTATTCTCCAAAAACTTATTTGAAACCTTAAATGTAGACACTTTACTTACATTTAATGTGCTTTCTATGGACATAAAATCACTTTTGTAAATTTATTTTGATGCGAACATCTTAACGTCTTTGACCCATATATATATATATATAAAATCAGTTATTATATATATATATAGTCAAATATGTTCAAGTCCACTTACATGTTTAAGTGAGTTTACTTTAGTTCTCAGTCCCTCCCGTAGGTTTTCATTCTCCTCCTCATACAGGCTGTGTCCACTTGCAACATAATTGCCTGGAGGGCCGCCCTCACCTAAACAAAAACAATAAACATAAAATTGGCTGGATAAGACTGGTGTTTCTGAGCATTTTAAAATCCAATATCTGATCTCAGCAAATTATTATAAAGGTTAGTAACCGACATGTATGATTTGATTTGGTTGCTCTGAAGTTTACTAAGATGGGCAGGGCTGGTTGGCTGGGAAAAACCTACACAAGTGCCCTTGACATGCTGACTGCAACTTCAAATAAGGTTTATATAGTCATCAGAAACTACTGAACATCTAAAAATTAGTAACTATTAATTAAATAGTGATGGCCTTCACAAGACATAAAAGATTTTTAAAAATATTTTTTACATTTAATTATTTTGTGAAAAAGATTTTTTTTTAGTTATTTATCAGTTAAAATCGGCCCCTTTAAGAACTGACTTTAAAATTATATTGTTGGTTCTTTTGATTAAAACTGTTTAAACGATATGGAAGGAATCTAAATTTAGGTTTGGGTGTGTCATATATATTGTTGCACTGTCTCTGTGTGTTTATACACACAGCAACACCAACAAACACCTCTAAATGTTAACCTGACCTATGGAACAGATGGTCTGATATAGTTGATACAGTTGGTAAGACCAGACCGTTTTGGCTCTGTCAGTTACCGTTGTCTCGTACCGTTATTTATAAATGTGGCTCTCCAAAACTGGACATTGTGGTTAATTTATTGGTATGATTTGGTCATTCGGCGTTTGTTTAATGTCGCAAACTGTGATATCTATTTGAACTGAGAGCCTAGCTTAGCATAAGCTTCAAATAAAACGACAAATAAAGAGAAACACTTACCCAAACCTGCACGCCTCATTATCAGCCGGAAACCTTTATATGATATACGATCACTGCAGCTTGAAAGTAATGTAATAAATATTTTATTATCTTCCTATTTAGAGCCGCTCTACTTTCGCCTTAGTAACTCCACAAGCGCCACGACACCTTACGGAAGCCGTGGTGGATTAAGCCGCACGCGAAGGTAGAAAGGGCGTGTGGGTAGTGAAGTTTTCACGAGTTCATTTTCATTTTTTTTTTTTTTTACTCTCTTTTTATTTTATATTTCTTTTTACTTGCTGTCACAAATGTTCCAATGCTTTATTTAAAACTAATGGAAATATCACTGAGTAGTTTCTCTGCTGTGCAGTGACCTTGATAGACGGAAATGAACTTTTTGGCCTATTTTACATTTTTAGGTGCAGTAATTGGTCGCCATTTCTTCTATTTCTCAACATTTGTCAGCATACCAATTCCACATTTTTATATAGTACAAAAACATTTGTATAATATGTCACTCTCTTATCTTATCGATTAAAAAGACTTATTATGAATCATAAAAACAGCTCGTATTTTTCAGCGCGAGTCTTCCTAAGAGACAGTAACACAAATGCTCAAATAAAATGTCTTATGGCCAATTAATTGTTAATTTTACTGAACAACTTTTAC